CTTTTATAAAGCCTGTATGAAAAGCAGCAAACATAATTTGTACCTCCTCAGTATTCTGTGAAATATAACTATACATGCAAATTTGTAATGATAAAAGATACGTCTTAAGATTATTCTTACAAGAATAAATGTTGTATTGACAAAACAATGATGTGTAATGATTGGCCAGGTGCTCGTTTGTCACAAATGTTTTATGATTCACTGTCATTGTTGTTGATAACAAAATCAATTTATTTTAGAAAAAATATTGTGATGACATGACATCTAATTGTAACTATATTTCTACAAGAATTGTTACAAATATATTTAAACCATGCCATATCTCCCTTTGGACAAACGTTACATCATTATTCTGATAGTTCCATGGAGGTATCTTTTTTGCATCTGTCATTGTATATTTATGAAGAGAAATAGCTGCATAATCATAAACAAAAACATTCTAAAACATATATTCGTTTGTTATGAAATACTGTTTTCATTTACATTAATTTCATACCAAACAGGGGCGGTGGGGTAGCCTAGTGGTTAAAGCGTTGGCTCGTCACGCCGAAGACCCGGGTTCGATTCCCCATATGGGCACAATGTGTTAAGCCCATTCCTGGTGTCCCCCGCCGTAATATTGCTGGAATATTGCTAAAAGCGGCGTAAAATTAAACTCAGTCAGTCAGTCATACCAAACAGGTACGTGTATTGTCCACATTACGATACACAGTCAAACCATCAATTGTTTTTCTATTTGGGCGGGGAGAAACCTCACAACCGTAACTACGGACATGATTGAATCTCCTGCACTGAAGATTTCAACCCTAGTAAAGGTTGCCGCTTAGTATCCTTCCAACGTTAAGGTTGAACAAAGGTAGCTTTGTGCAATGGACAGAAGTTTTTGTTTAGGTTACCTTAAGGTTAACCTTTGTAACTAAGAACAACCTTTGTCATTTTAGCCCTTTTTTCCTCTTGGTCTTTTATTTTACCAAAAGAGTTTAAGATAATTTACCTTAAATTTGATACTTTGAAGATTGAGGTGTTGCAGGTAGCTAGTGGTTAAAGGGTTCACTTGTCACCGCAAAGACCTGGGTTCAGTTTCCACGATGTGAGATCAGATAGAAAAAGTGGACTTGGAAGTACATTAACGATTGGTCGTTTTCATTGCATATGAGTCATTTGTGAAAAACAATTATTTTTTGGTTATATATTGGATTAACCTAACATGTTATATTTGGGGTAACCTAACAATAATACTAGAGTCTGTACTTTCATAGAAAGGACCGTCGCCATATAGCTTGAATATTGCTGAGTGCGGCGTAAAACTAAACTCACTTACTCACTTTCATAGAAACTGTAATCCCAAATATTACATAATATTTGAGAATTGTCTAAATGGTATTGTGTATTCACACTTACAAATACATCATGAATGTAAATTTTTCATATTGTATTTACTTTGTATTAACTATAGTCTTGTGTAAGACATAATACATGCAGTGATGCAGTTGGAATCACTAGTGTGCTTTAAATCACAATTGCACTGATAGTTATGGTTTCATAAATGAGAAACTAACAAGGGAAAGTGAAATTATGAATCAGGGAATAATGATGTGTACAGAATTATCATGAAGGTCTTTATAGGCATTTATACTCCATTATCTTCATAATCAAGTACTTTGATAATGTGGAATTACTGGACTGTTATTGGACAATCAACAATGGTGCAACCACCCGTTAATACTTTGTACAATCACTGCTAATGACGTTTCATGTCAGATTCATTGACAAGCTGACAACCTTCAGTAGACACGCCCATCAGACACGATTTTGACAGCTTTCTCATTGCTATTGATTGCAATCAGGACATTATTGTTTTGTGTGGCCATTTAGCTAGTAATGTGTGGCCTGCCTGGTGAACAGTTCCTGGTATCTCACTGGATGGTACGGCTGTGTGTGGACGAGGTAAGCAGTGATAAGCTTGTCACAGTTAAGCTAGTGTTTGCATCTTGAGGAGCTGGTTAAGACTGCCAGAGGGATTACTAATTTGGGCAAGATTTTAATCTCGGATGTTGATTGCCATCTTTCTTTATTCACATTCCCTTTTTCTGTTATGTTCGTGAAAATTTGGTAAACTAAAGTGTAATAATGTTGACTTTGTTTAGCAAAACAGGACATGTCTGCTTGTGATACTATTAGACACACCCTTGAGGCAATGTGCCCAGACTCAAGGTATATTTCAGGTCAATAGAATGTATGTATTCATCTTTTTTTGTGAGCAAATCAGGAAAAAGTCACTTCTTCGGACTAATATTCATCATCATCTTTCCGCTTCAGTGAGCATTATTGTTAATGCATCAATCACTGCTTTTCCTAGTCTGTGATTTTACTGATACAATTATTATCTAGAAATATTACTCAGTGAACTTTGCTTCTGCAGTAGACTGAGTTGAGTTTTAACCAGCTGTCCAACCACCTTCAGCCTTGGAAATTGCCTAAAATGTCAACTTTCCTGAATGGTGATAGCTAAGGCTGGTTAAAAGATTGATAAATTGAAATATTGCACATTGGAAGAAGTTATTACGATGAAGTTATACACAAACTTTATTCAGTAACCGCTTCTCAATCATGTTAAGGGGAGGTGGGATAGCCTAGTGGTTAAAGCATTCACTCATCACGCCGAAGACAGGTTCGATTCCCCACATGGGTACAATGTGTGAAGCCCATTTCTGGTGTCCCCCGCGCGGTGATATTGCTGGAATATTGCTAAAAGCAGCGTAAGACCAAACTCACTCACTCACCAGTAGTCCAATCTTAAATCTGACACCAAGCACCAGTGAGTTATTTTCATGAAATATGTTGTTTTCTTTTAGACTTTTTTTTTTTTTTTTTTTTCACTTTTCCACGAAGCTACCTTTCCAATATTTATCAATTGACTATATCAATATCTGATTAACAAATGTCAATATGCATGATCCATATCAAGGCCGGTACTATCTATATCAGCATCCCCCCTGTGAAGCCAGGAATTCTAACAGCCTTTAGGATGTGTTTGACTGAATGGCTAGTGGAAATTTCGATCTCTTTTCTGTTCCAATATTTGCCTTTATTGTGTCTGCAACATTGGATTTGCAATTAACATGTACAATCATTTGATGAGCAGTGTATTCAGTTGTTTTGACATTTAGACCCAGCATGGTTCGGTCCAATTGGCTGTCACGTTATGAAACCCCTAACTGTCAGGAGATTTCTCACTATTTGGTTTTATGAATGTCCTTGTTTGAATAAATCCATATTGTTTGTCTTTGCTATCTCGATGATGTCATTGAGGATTATCCTACGAGGAGCAAATATTTTAGGCATTTTCTCAATAAGTTTGTATCTAACTGAAAAGCACTATTTTGTAAGCCCAAGCTTTGCATTTTTGGAACAATATCTACTTGTTTTAGTTGATTGCAAAGGACTACTTTACTGTAAAGTTATCTCCCTTTGTGGTAACTGAACTTTTCAATTATTGTACATAAACAGTGTTCACGAATGGTGTTTCAAAGTAACAGGACATTGGGTCCTGGAAGTTTCAGATGTCTGTCTGACACATTGAAAATTCACAGGACCAATAGAATACAATTAAACACACATTTCAGATTTAACATTTCTTATAATTAGCATCAAAATTATTAACATACATTAGATTTATAAACAGCAAACAAGTGTCACATGTCACATATAAAAACGTCAGTCAAAGTCATTGTGAAATATACAGTCAGACACTGGGGCCGGCGGGTGGTAGACTTCTATCGGACCGTTGGCGAATCTGCCGGATTTGTCAGAGGGTCAGACGCTATTCGTGAACACTGCATAAAGATGTATGTCGAATTTTCCCATCAGTCAAACACTATTATGTTAAACTTTGATGTCTAATGTTCTGTTGTCTCCAAGTAAAGGCTTGGTTGCGGTGTATGCTTTCTTCATTCATCAGTTTTGTCATTGTATCGAACCTTGGATAACTCGAAGCATTTACACAAGCAACTGAGTGAGTGAGTGAGTTTAGTTTTACACCGCACTCAGCAATATTCCAGCTATATGGCAGCAGTCTGTAAATAATAGTCCGGATCAGACAACCCAGGGATCAACAGCATGAACATCGATCTACGCAATTGGGATACGATGACATGTGTCAACCCAGTCAGCGAGTGTGTCCCCCGATCGCATTAGTCGCCTCTTAAGACAAGCATGGGTTACTGAATATCAATTCTAACCCGGACCTTCACGGATCACAGTAAACTATTAATTAATTATTAGTTAATTATGTCCTCAAATTGTACCTCTGCTAATAAGATAACCATGCACATGAAAATCATCTACCGGGTATGTCCTTGACATGAATTTCAGAGACATGACAAACAGGGATGGCAGTTAACAATATTATATCACAATGTCTTTCTTTACATCATCCATCATAATTCCAGTGATTTCCTGGGCATAAAAGTCAATAAATGTTTTTGCTTGTTTGTCATTTGCGTAAGTGTTTTGTTTGGGGATTAAATGACTAAAGGTGTAGTATGTCTCTAAAAAATTAGGCGTGCCATAAGGGCACCAAGAACATTTTTTATCTGTGCCATTTCGATATTTACCGTGCCATGGCACGCTAATACATGGGGTATTTCGAACCCTGCCAACATATTATTCAGTCAACTAGTTATGTCCGTACTTTATACCATATCATGGTTGTGTTATTACATTTCGAAGGTAGAGCTGCTCAGTTAATTCCAACACATTATAGACTAGGATATAGCACCTGCATAGAATTTCCATTCGATGTCCCTGGTTGATATTGCTGCAGAATTGTCAATGCAAGTAGTAAGCATATGAATCCTCATTCTCATTATTTCATTCCTTGAATATGATGCACCTTTATATGCTATTTACATGCATGAGAAACATGTGTGTCTGTTATTAATCATCAGACTCTATGAATCCAATATCAGCTGACATAACGGAATATTATTTCATTACAGGTAAACTGCTCACACAGTAAAGATGGCCGGACAGTCATTGCTGAAGAAGTTGACTCCAACCACAACCAAACAAGGTATCCCGAAGCTGTTTCACGAGCCTCATGTGGAGACCGGGTTCCGCCACATGCATCAACCCTGGGCCTACTACTGCCTCAGCTTCCTCCAGATCCACAACGAATGTATGAACTGTTGGACACATCTACTGGCCCTCATCGTAACATTGGTACGAGTCGGCGTCTTCTGGAAAGAGTTCGATCTCATCGGTGACCAGTACATGTGGCCGTTGTCTGCCGGTCTCATAACCATGGTGATATTGTACATCTGCAGTACATGTGCACATTGTTTTTCAAACAAATCGGAACTTATCCATTATACGTGTTTCATGGTCGACTATGCGGGTATTGGACTCTATGGCCTAGGGAGCGTCATCCTCCACCATTCATATTGCTTTCATGACAGTCTCCTGAACAGTGCATTGGACGTGTACTCTGTTCTCGTCGGAGTCTTATTGAGCATTTTGGTTTGTGTTTGTTGTTCAATTTCTAAAACGCGTTACTCCCGTCCGTATCCTTTCGCACGTCGGATATGGCAGCTGAGTTCTGTATTTGCTGTGTATATCTGGCTGATATTTCCAGTGTGGCATCGGGTCATGCTGTACTATATGGGCCAGGAACCATGGGATGACGGCATGGGACATCATGTTCAACAAATGATGTGGTTCTTCTCTGGGGGATTCTTTTTCGGATCAGATATACCACAGCGGTTGTTTCCGGGTAAATTTGATTTCTTCGGTCACAGCCATCAGATCTTCCATGTTTGCATAATGATGACCTCTTACAAGCAGCTTGATGGCGTCTATCAAGATATTTTACGACTACAACTCTCAGGAAATTTGAAGAAATTGCCCCCACCAACGTTCAACAGTACCTTTGGAGCGGTTTTGTTTGTGATATGTGCGAATCTGATCAGTGTGTGCATCTTCAGGAAAATTGCTGACTGGAAAATTAAGAGTGATCGTGAAATGGAGAAAACTGTCACAAATGGAAATGGAAAATGTTTGTAAAATTAGTTAGAAAGTAGTGTTTGCATAGATCCTTCATTTAAAAATTGGTAGGTATATTTGTGAAGTTGTACTTTAGAAAAAGAATAGTGTACATTATGGAATTTCTAATGGAAGTGTTTACAAGTCCCGAGTAATCTGAGACAGGGAATGTTTTGATAGAAAAGTTATGTCGAATATGTAGGTCTCAATTAGATTGTTATTACTATATTCTTTGTGAATATGTTGAATGATTTGGTGTGATTTAGTTTGAATTGATAATTGTGAATGAATGATATGTGTTATAGTGGAGTTTGTTTTAATTTTAGTCAGTGTACTAAGAGAATCATTTCATATTCATGTAAGTACAAGCTCAAAAGAAACCTTTACTTGAACATTTTCTAACTTATTGTTGATATAATATGCACTGCGATCAGATTATTTATATATTATGTTGTATTAAGGCGCAAAGATCTCCATGTATTACAACTCTTTCTATGACAAATATGCTATTATTCCTGAGATAGCGCCATTAACTACGTGATAGGCAAAATGTGTATCTACTGTTTGAAACTTTGCTTATTACTTTTAGGGTGGTGGGGCACTCACTTACTTATTATCTATTAAGTAGACTGAAGTGTAAACCAGTATGTACTCTCACCCCAGGGCTGGGGATAAGAGGGCCAGTTGTCTGCCCTACTCACTTCCAGGATCCGCTGAGCACAACTCACTTCCAGGATTTGCTAAGCAATAGTTTGAGTTCCCAGATTATGATCCTTGGTCTTTCACTATCAGTACATACATCTTCTTTTCACATAGTTATAAATTAACACCTGCTTGAACCATCACATTAGTGGTAAATAAACAGCTGCTTTAACCATTCAAATAAGTGGTAGATAGATAACCAGCTGTTTTACCCATTCACATAAGTGGTAGATAACCAGCTGCTTAAACTGTTCAAATATGTGGTAGATAAACAGCTGCTTAAACCATTAAAATAAGTGGCAGATAGATAACCAGCTGTTTTACCCATTCACATAAGTGGTAGATAAACAGCTGCTTAAACCATTCAAATATGTGGTAGATAAACAGCTGCTTAAACCATTCAAATATGTGGTAAATATACAGCTGCTTAAACCATTCAAATAAGTGGCAGATAGATAAAAAGCTGCCTTACCCATTCACATAAGTGATAGATAACCAGCTGCTTAAACCATTCACATAATTGGTAAATAGACACCCTCTTGAACCATTCACATAAGTGGTAAATAACACCTACCATTCACAGAAATGGTAGATTAACACTAAGTCTTGCTTGTAACATTTACATAAGTGGGAAATAAATACCTGCATGACCCATTCACATTAGTGGTAAATAAACAGCTGCTTAAACCGTTCAAATAAGTAAATATACACCTGATTGTAACATTTACATATATGTAACACCTGCCATTAAGTAGTAAATAACATCTGTTTGATTTATTCATTCAAGTGGTAAATAATTACTGTGTACCAATCACATAAATGGTAAATAACGTCTGTTTGTAACATTTACATACATGGTAAATAAACAACTTGTACTATTAACATACATGGTAAATAACACCTTGTATCATTCACATACATGGTAAATAACACCTTGTACCTTTCACATACACGGTAAATAAACACCTACTACCATTCACATACATGGTCAATAACACATTGTACCATTCACATACATGGTAAATAAACACCTTGTACCATTCACATACATGGTAAATAACACCTTGTACCATTCACATGCATGGTAAATAACACCTTGTTCAATTTTACACAGTGGTCATATGGAAAGTTAATGAGGAACACAATGACCTTTACCTTTCTAGAAACTGGGGACAGAAGATAAAACCTGGGGGGAGACCAACGTTTTTGACTTAGCGACATGAATCATGAAGAATTTGACCCTGTGTTACTAGCAGTAAAGAAGCTGACATTAGTATTTTCAGACTATCAACAAAGTTTAAGCTCTCTCAGGAATAACAGAAATAAAATTCAGAGATGCATTAACCCTGTTTCACCCATATACTGCTTGATCATGAATAATCATTCTCTTTTTGAGGGAAAAAAAGCCCTAACAAATAAGAGCCTGGAATATATTCATCAGGCTAAAAGCAAAATAACCATTCTATTATGGTGTAAAAATTAATCTTCAGCAGTCTTTGTTAAATCACGCATATATGAGTATAAAAAGTGAAACTAATCTGGGGTGGTGGTGCAGTCTAGTGGTTAAAGCTTTCACTCATCGTGCAAAAGACCTGGGTTTGATTCCCCATGGTCTGTGAAGAGCATTTCTCTTATCCCCCACCACGATATGGATGGAAAATTGCTGAAAGTGGTGTAAAACCTCACTCACTCTATCTGAAGTCGGGGCGGTGGGGTAGTTTAGTGGTTAAAGCATTTGCTCGTCACGCAGAAGACCCGGGTTTGATTCCCCAATGGGTACAATGTGTGAAGCCCATTTCTGGTGTCCCCTGCCTTAATATTGCTGGAATATCGCTAAAAGTGGCTTAAAACTAAACTCACTCACTCACAATGTAACGTTAATCTTCACTTCAGCCTCCAAAATGTGATACTGGTAGTGCTGATTAATAGTTTGAAAAGTGTATTTCTCAAAAGGAGTCCCCTTAATACAGTAATAAGCACTGTGGGCAAGTCCTACTCTGAACATTTGTTCAATCACAGTATATAAGATCTGTACTTAAAACCAATACCAGCAAGTCTGGTATTTTGTTTGTTGATTTATATTATGTTGTTGTTGGTTTTTGTAGAGATACAATTATCATGACAGTGATGCTATTTATGAACATCGCGTTTAACCACATCCGTATGTATACATACAGACAAGCTCACTTAAATATTTTCAGTATGAATATTATGATATATATGACATTACTGGTATTCTTGAAAGCTATGTTAATCAGATATTTTGAACATGTTCTTGTGGATCAGAATTACCCATGATCCATCAGTGGCAGGAGTTCAAACAGTGAACTAAGTCGTGCTTATAACAAACTAATATCGAACTGTTTTGTTTGTTTTTTCCAACCATTTGGATATTTTAGGGCCTGTTCGATTATTGCGAAACTGGTTTTGGTTTCTGAAACTGGTTTCTCCTGTTATAAACGAGTGTCTAGTTTTGGATACATGGTTTCAAAGTGAAACCAATTTCTAGTTTTATAAACGAGTGGATGGTTTGACCATCCGGTTTCAAAATCGATACAAACTATGAGGAACGAATAGAATGACAACATTGCCAAAGGTAATATTTTTGGGTCATTTTATCAGGGGAATTAACAAATAATAAAGAGATGAGATGCTTTTGGAAGTAAATATTTGCGTATATGTAATTATACTGTTACAAGTAATTTTATGTATACAAGTTACGTAAAATAGTCATGTTCAAATAGACTGGGGTTTTAAATAATATTTTCCTAGGTCTCAGTTGATTTTTATCATTATTTTGGTTACAGAAACTGATGCTCTATTTTGCCACCAAGATTGTTTCCGCCATGTTTTTTGTGAGAGAACGCGAAACCGAAACTGTGAAACCTGCCTCGGAGATGGTTTCGAAGTTTCAGAACCCAGTTTTAGGTTTCGCCATAAACGAGTGCATGGTTTTCCAGAAACCAAAACCAGTTTAGCATAATCGAATAGGCCCTTAGTCAAAATGCATAAAAGAAACGTCACAATTAACAATAATTAGTGATCCCTTCGAGTTTGTTATAACCAGAGTTTACTATTTTGTATAAAGCTTCATATAAGCAGTATTGTCATTTTCTCAATGGACAGACAGCATCAGTGACAGAAAACTTGTTAAAACACATTCTGTTCTCAGAGGATTTTCTGTTCTCTTCATAATAACACTGTAATCGGAATTTTGGTGACTGATGCTTAGTGCTGCCATTCACAGATCTCTTGAAAACTGCTACAGACTTGGAATTGTGAGAGAACTTAGTATGGCTTCTAGATGTTGGTCACTATACTTACTCAAGACGTAAAGCAGTTGTAATACTGTATTCAATACTATTATCTCATATACTTGTTTACAATTTTTTCTCCAGGTATTGAATGAGAATTATTGCTATCTAATCAAAGAAGTTCACACTTCAGTTGACAGAGGTACAGCAATTTAGTCCAGTCCAGTGTTTTGACTGTGTGTCTTATGTCAGGGATCTATCTAAAACTCCAACCTCTACAGACAACTTGGAAAGGAAATCACTATGTTGCTCAAAAATAGGATTTTTCTTATTTTTACTTTTTTTTTATTTCAGAGGTATTACACCAATCCCTCAGCATTAAAGTTACTGCAATAAATTCAATACCCAGCAGTAAAGCCTCTGACTCTTAATCATGTTTCCTGGCCAGTCTTTCTGTTTATGCTAGGCCATAACTCCACATATGACTACATTTAAAGGAGTTGGAAAGATTTCAGTTCCAATTTGGTAATGTTAGTTGACATTTGCTGCAGACTTGGAACTGAATGTCAGCCTCTGAGGAAGCCTAGATAAATCCTTGAGTGTACCTTCATAATTAGGGCAGTCTGGCTTTAGTTGCTTTCCTGAAGCCCCTGTCTAACTATATTTTTGCGCATCTATATACAGAATGAAAAAGTTAAAATTATTGTATCTAATTATTCTTGTTTATCTAATGTATACTTGCTCAACAACCAGATGGAGCAAGGGTGTAGACTGATTTCCAGTGTTTGAAATAAAGAAATATGCCAAGCTTCCATCAGAGGACCAGCAAACTATAGAAGCCAACATCCTCCCGTGACAAGGGAGTTAAGTGACTTTCTAAGATGCCTAGCGGTTAGAACAATCGAAATAAAAATACATTATCAGACAATAAAGGTATAGTTTTTTGATAACGTAACAATTGAATGGCGTTATCCCGTCACTTTGCCATTCTAGTGTGCCCCCTCATAATCGAACCATTTTACATTACGTCACAATGTAAGCGACGTCACGATGCATGTCAGTTGTCATCGCCTCGTACGGCCTCCTACAGTAAACTACACCGTTGCATCCAGTTTCTTGGTTTGCTGTTGCTTCACGCAGCTAACATCACTGGTGGAAACATTACGTTTATGTTTTACGACGGTTAAAATGTGTCATTTCGACTCACAAGTTTTCAGCGACACGGTAGCGTTAAGTAATGTTTACATTCCCACAATGCAATTGTGGAATGTCGCTTGACTACTCAACTTCCTCTGCATGTACTGATCTAAACTTACGCTGGTAGTAGAAATGCAACGTTCATATTGCCCCATATGGTTTATGTTAATGACAGATGTAATTAAAATAATTCAGAGAAGATATTTAATCCGAACGTAAACCGCCATCAAACTGTTATCATTTGTTTTTTCTGGTAACGTTCGTCTTAACGTAGGGGGCAGACACATCAATAGAACAGCGCGCCAGTTAGC